GTCTGGCCTTAGATGTGTGTGACTGTATTTCATTGGCAGAATACATTTAAAGTTCATTTCAGATGATTGTAAACAGGGTGTAAATTGTGTGTGCAATGGTGTGCATGTAGAATTCAGGATAGCCGCCTTTCTGGGTAGTGGAAGACTATTCAGGGGGAGCGGGAGGTAGGTTAGGCAGCCATTTTTCTTACCCACTAATCACTTAACAGTTCTGAGTAAAAAATTTTACTTTAGTGGCAAAGTAACCATTTTTAACTTTTTCTTGGATGCTTACTATGTTTTGGGCATTGTGTGAAGGACAATGGTACCTCGCTTCATGAATTCAGTTTGTTCTATGATTTTGGAATGGAGGCCACATTTGTGTTTGTGTGGGAAAGACTGCAGTAGTTGTGTTTGTTGTCACCTGATGCAGTTTGCAAACAAAATAAAATTTTGCCAGCGCTTCTGTTTGCACACCAAGTTGTTTGCAAACAGAAGCGTTGGTGAACTGAGGTACTTGACATAATCTCCCAGATTTTACTGGCCCTGTGAGGAGTGGCTACTTTATTGCCGTCCTCTTACAGGTAGTGAGAATAGGTGTGGAGAGGTTGGTTACTTGTGATCGAGTTCTCACAGTGAGGTGATGACTGGTTTCCAAATCCAAGTCCCGCTGCGCACTCAGTGACTACAGTGCAGAGGGGGAAACCTTTGTCCTCCACCTCTTAGGTGGGGCGACTAAAGCCTATGAAGGAGCCACAGAAGTCTGATTACAGAGAAGAAGCATACACATTCTGCTGATGTTCATTTTTACATGTGGTGGAGGGTGGGTGCGGTGTCTGGAAAACAAGTGAAACATCAATGGAGGGGTCTACGTAGGGTTTTGACAAAGGGTGAAACGTTGGGAAGAAGTGCCTTAGCCTCCTGGGTGCGGTGCTCTGTGGGCAGCGACAGGAAATGGATGTGGGAGGTGGGGTTGGTAAGGTTACTGTGCACTTACGGTTGGAGAGTGCACAGTTCCTGGTCTTCCTGGAAGCAGAGAGGGGACCAATACACTGCAAATCCATGTCACCTGAACACAGGGAGGGCAGAAAGCTCCTCTTGTGCCTGCTGTTTCTCAGTTATCTTTTTTGGTTTTTTGGTACTGGGGGTCAAACTCGGGTCCTTACGTTTGCGAGGCAGGCGGCGGAACCAGTGAGCTAAATTCCCGGGCCTCAACTGCCTTTTAGCAATAATTCCTCTGCTAAATGGGCAGTTTGGAGTGGAATATTATACTCTCTTTCACTTCTGGGACCATATTTAGGGCAGTATTTTAAGTTTTCCATGCTGAAGGTAAATGTACCTATTAAGATGAAGAATGTAGCTTTTGGCAACACAAGAATGCTATATATTCGTGTCCCTATGATGATTACAATAGGAAGAATCCTCATGTGGTTCACATGTGTGGAGCAAATAAAAAACAATGGAAAGATATGATACAGTGAGGTGAAAATAGCTGCACCCAATCCAGACCTTCTTGTGAGAGCTGAGCCAGTTTGTGAAGTTAAACACGGTAGACAAAGCAGAATGATAACTAGTGTGTCAGTTGCCCTGAAGGTAAGTATTCAAAAAGCAATTGTTGTCTGACTCTGAATTAATTACATAAAAAAGAAAGTTACTGCATAAAGAGACTTCAGTTTTTAAAAAATGGATAAACCCGAGTCAGTAATTGTGAAGAAACAGTTATGAATTACAACACCAAAAAAGCCTTGTTTTCATGTGCCATCTTTTGAAGGAACAAGTTCTTTGTACAATACATTTATAAAAGTGACTAATGCACTGGGAGTGGTGGTGCATGTTTGTAAGCCCAGCCACTCGGGAGGCTGAGGCAGGATTGCAGTTGGAGGCCAGTCTAAGCAAAATAAAATGAAAAGGGGCTGAGACGGTAAATCGGTGGTAGAGCACTTACCTCGTATGTGCAAAGTCCTGAGTTCAGTCTTCAGTACCAGTGCGCGCGCACACACACGCACACACACAAAGGGACAGATGTAATTTGAAATACAAGTACTAGAAATTCACAGAATGATGCATTTAGAAAGTCACTGGTGCATTGTTAAAAAGTTTATTCCAGACATGAGGTATGGCTTTACCCACTTGAAGAATAAAAATCCAAGCATAATGACTGAAACAGTGTGTGGGGTACGGGCTCTGGGGCTCCCCAGACAGCCCACAGTGCGCAGTGCACAGTGTGAGCCCGGTGCCGGGCGTCCTTCTGGGGCTGGGTCAGAAGGTGGAGGCTGCAGAGGAGAGGGTGAGGGAGAGCAGGCTTGGAGACGCCGCACTGCGGGAGTCCAGGTAGGCCTGTGGGAAGTCGCCTGATATTTGTGTGCGTGAAATTTTTATCAGCTCTTGAGAGCTACAGCCATCTCGTTACTAAGACAGGGCTAGCTTATTATTTATTTTGAAAATCTGCATTCTTAAAATGGGAACTTTTCTCTTCCACCTGAAAACCATCACATAACCTTTTTGCTTCAACCAGCAAATGGGAGAAATCTGATCAGTTTTAGGGTGAAATACTTGTTCATCCCAGAGCCTCAGAAATCTAGGATCTTGAAGATTGTGTGTGTTTGATGTGTAAACGTATTTACACACCTCTGATGCATAGTAGTGTGTATTCAGAGTACTCTGTAGTGACTTTGTCTGTTATGTCGAGAGTTACAGTTTACCATGGCCGCTCTACTTTTAAATATGGAGGGCTGCTCTGTGTGCTGACACGTTGTTTCTGTTGAATTTCTAGTGGAGTTTGTGGCCTAAGTGGCGAGTGGAGAAAGGAGGAGAAAGGTCCTGAGTTGTGTTTGGTCAGTGGTCACTCTTTCATTAGCGTACTTTGCATATGGACAAGAAATTTTTGAAAGCGTATGTGTACATATACGTTAATCTCTTAATGTGTGTATTCCGGTCTCCTTGGGGACTGTGAATGAAGTTCTGTGTGGCACTCTTGTTCCTTTCTATGTGATCTGGAAGTTGAACTCCATTCTCCCCATCCGTTCTGTGAGTTGAGTCCACTGTTTCTGTGGATACCATCGAAGATCCGTAAATACTGACCAAGTTCAGCCTTGTGGTTGGACTAATCGAACAAAGCACTGTACTGAAAATAGTTGTTTGGAAGCCAGTTCAAGGTGGGCAAATCAGTGCACCTTACAGTCTTATCGGGGTTGCAGAGATGGGTTTTTTATTTTTCACTTATTTTTGAAGGGGCTGTTTTAAAAATTCTCTGTACAGAGCATTATTTGCTGCCTTGGTGCATTGGTTGAACATTATGTGCTTTGTATGTTTGTCTCAGATGAGAGAAATTCATCAGCATAAGTAGAAATACCTGCTAAGAAGAGATGGTTTTCCTACAAAGCTTTTAGATTCATCCTCTGTGCAAAAACTAAGCATAAAATTGTGACATTTTAAGGCCAGTATAATAGTGCAGTAAGTGACCTTGGGGCATTGCTTTATCGAGGCATCGAATGATTGAGTGTGCTTCCCTGTCTACCTTCACTGTTCTTTTTTGAATTTTAAAATAGTCTTAGTTTTGTAGAAGACAAATGCTAAAGTGCTATGTTTTCTACACTTGGTACGGTAATTGTGTGAAATTGCCTTTTCATAGTTTGTCATCAAAGTCTATTGCTTAGCAGTCTCTTAACCAAGCTCTGAAAAATCAAAAAGGAAAGCAGTCTGTGGATGCTGCCTTTCAGCGGGAGGTCAGGCACGTCTCCAGAGGGTCTGGCAGCTCCTGCCCGGGAGAGCTGTCCTCAGCAACCTGCCCCAATAGTTCTGGGGCAGTTCTGGCTCCTGGCTGAGAGCACGGGGTTGCTTTTAAGTGGGACCCCAATTTTAAGTTACACAGACCAGAGTATCAATCACATTTATTTACTTTACTTTTACCCTTGATGAGCTTTGTTTTAAAATAATCAGACCACACTGAAACTCACTGTATATGTCTCACTGTGCAGGTTTTCTAAGGAACAGAAACCCAGTCAGTCCTCGCCTGCCAAGAGGTTGGGTTAATGTCCTTTTCTCTCTTTTGGTTGTTAAGCTATTAATGTGTTGTCACCAAATGATAATCCTGTGGACAAGAGAAATCTAAAAAGCCTTAGCTAATTCATAATCTTGCATAATCCACGATGACAAGATGCAGAACCAAAAATGCCCTGAATTAAAACAGAACAGTCATACCAGTTAGCAACCATTCCATTGAGGTCTTTGTAAGTGTACTCCAGTTTCGTTAAATAATGTGTTTAAGATACAAAAGACAGCAGAAAGACTGGTACTATAGCCTTGTCCCTACCACCCAGGTTAAAAAATACAATCTGACCGAGGACCGAAAGCCCAGGGTCCCTTCTGCCCAGACAGGAAGCTGCCTTCTGGGCGCGCTCCGTCCCTGGTGCAGGTTTGGATCCCAGTCCGGGAGCTGCGTTTCCCTGGAGCTCACAGACACAGTTTCGGCCTTCATAGGGTACTGGCCATGAGCCTGTCTGCTCCCTTGGCCTGGGTGCCAGCTGCACACTGCTCGGTGTGCTGGACAGACTGGGCTCAGTTGGTCTCACTTGGTCTTGTGTTTGTGAGCCTTTCCCTGGCTCCTGCCCTGAAATCATACCAGAGAGCCCCAGCTCCGCAGGTCAGCTCCATGCTGTTCCCCAGTGTGTGTCCGCACTGCCCGTATCTCGTGCCAGTTTCAGTTTCTCCCACTCAATTGTAGGCCATTTGAAGAAGATTTATGAACAGCTCTATATGTAATGTTGTGGATTTTTCTCTTGAGGCTCTTGATCGTTTCCTTTTTTGCCATGACCATTATCCTGCCCTACATCTAACTACTTTGTAAATACGAGCTATTGTGATCTGTGAGGCTCCGAAGAGAAATTTAATTTTGTTTATCATGGATAGATATGCAGTATTTACTTCTTCATATGTCTAAATTTTTTATATTGTCTTATTTTGTATATTATAATATATTTTAAAATATCAAAGTAATGTTTCTTTTTGTCTTTTAGATATTGATATATGGAGATTTGCCAAAAAATAAAGAAAATATAATATATTTAGCAAATCATCGCAGCACAGGTTTGTATTTCATTTGCATGAAACAGCTTTCTATAAAGTGTACATGGGCATTCAAAATAGTTTATTTAGACGAAATGAACTTTTTGTAATTGTTAAAACATGAATTTTCTTTCTTGTTTCTTTTTTTGGTACCGGGGATCAAACTCAGGTCCCTGCACTTGCGAGGCAGGCGGCAGAACCACTGAGCTAAATCCCTGGCCCAACATGAATTTTCTATGTAGACTTTATGCTTGTCCTTATACTTTTGTGATTTCACTTTTGGGATAGTTAACAATGTGAAAGCTATGGGTTTTTCTAAACTTGTCCCTATGTTGGATGCAAATGAGCTAGTTTTTTACTCCCCCTGTGTCTTGGAGTAGCTCTGTGGTCTGTTCACTCTTCTTTTCGTAAGTGTCCTCCCGGAAGTCAAGTCGCGGTTCCAGTGTGCGTGTGCTTTCTCTTCGGACCCTGGAGCTCTGCCGGCTGTTCCCGTGCTCTGGTTGTTGCATCTGCAGCTCCTTTCGCCTGTACTCTGTGTCTGGCTTCCTTCTGCCTTGCCAGTCTTCTGCCAGAGGAACCACATGAGACCACTCCCCAGTAGACTTTAGGTTAAGGTTCTTTACCAAAAACTGCAATGTGTCTGAATATTGTCAGTGGTTTGTCATGAGAGGGCACTGACTCTCCTGACCCCATCACCTACTTTCCTGCAGTAGTGACGTCTTAGGTACCTATAGTACAAAAATTAAGCGACATTGGCTAAGATAACATTTTTAAAACAACCCAACACACTCAGTGGAAAATCATCTGCCTGTGGCTTTCCTTTATTTTGTTCTGTCGGCTGTCTTCATGATTTTGTTGCTTTTCTTACCACCTATAACCTAGGAGAGCATAAAAAGTAAAAGAAATTGAAATGCGTTTTCCTCATTTATGCAGCCCCATGACCACATTCAGTTCTCAGGTGAGGGCTGACATCACTGGACGTATAAGAATCCGCTGTGTCTCGGTTTCTGTCAACTTTACCGATAAACCCACTCTGGGTGCTGGACCTGGTCATGTAAGACCTAAAATCTCACTTCCACTCCACGGAGCGTGAACAGCCAAAAAGGCCTCCACAATGCTGGGCCCAACACCCAGCGAGGCTCCGGGAACACGACAGAGAACCGAGAAACCCAGGAAGGAACACACCAGGCTAGATGGTAAAGAGACCTTTATTAGTCTGGCCAGACGGCACTCCCGGAGCCAGGTGGCTCAGAGAGGTGCCTAGCTCAGGGGCCGAGGTCCTCTTATAGGGAGTAAAAGGAGGGGGTTAACATTTTGGGCTCACAGACAGGGGACAAAGGTCTGCTGACTTGAGCTGGTGGTCAGCAGTCACATATTGATGAGTAACAGGTATCACCTATAGGATGTCTCAAAGGTCACTAAGACACTCTGGATGACCAAACAGTTTGTCAGTTAGCTTGGGCTCTATGTCTGGAGTCTCTAATTTATAAGTAGATTCAGATCCGGACTTTAAACAATATAAGAGTGATCCACATTCTTAGGCCAGGGATGGAATAAAGGTCGGGGCTGTGGCTATAATGGGAGGGGTTCAGGACACTGTCTCCTAGGCCCTTTGCCATTTAGCAAGGGCTTGTAATTTAGGTCCCACAGTCATATGTGACTCAGGGCGTGTCAACACCTGCTCCTGACTTTGGCAGACACGTGGGGTTCCTTGTCTTGTCCTGCAGCCGGAGGAGAATTCCGCCAGGGCTCACGTATTCAGAGGAGAGGGCTTTATGGGCCCAGGGCAAGGACCACCTCAGGAAGTTTCCGTTCTGTCGCGTGACACACTGGTTACTTCTCTGTCCACCCAGAATTTCTTTTCTACTTAACAGGACTCTCTTACGGTTGCTTGCTGTTTCCTTTCCCAGGTTTTAGTGGAAATGTTGTTCTCTGGACAGCTATGGCAGTGTGTGCTCTGCCCATTCCCGGAGGCCGTGTGTCCTGTGTCCGAAGTCAGTAATTCCCGGCATGTGTGTGCTTCCTCCGTGTTGGCCTCAGACAGATCCCCTCAGAGTGAAGACTCTGGGAAAGCACTTGTGAGAAAACGGCAGATCAGAGCATCGTTCAAGCTGGGCGCAGCGGCACACGCCTATAACCCAGCACTGAGAGGCTCGCAAGCTTGAGCCCACCTGGGTCACTTGGTGACTTAATGAGGCCCTGTCTCAGGACTTTTTAAAAACGGCTCAGGTGCGGTGCCTGGGACTGGGGTTGGGCACCTCCATACTGGTACCTGGGCCGGGAAGGCAGCAACAGGAGGTGTGTGTGCTTTTCCTCCCGGCCTGCACGGCCCCCAACTTTCTCAGAGCACTCTGACCCTGGTCCTGGCACCAGCCAGCCTTGGGTTCCTGGAGCTGTCTTTTGGTTACCTTCTAAAAATCCACAACTTGGGAACGTAGCAGAGAAGTGATTTCAGGCTACTTTTGAATTGCAGGCTGCTGTCATTTTGTGATAGAAGGTATGGAGCCATCGTCCAAGAGAATGGCATCGTTCAGGGTTCAGGGTTCAGGGTGTCCACACTTGTCTTGTCAGGTTGCCTGTTGAAAAGCCTTTGGAGGTTCTAGGAGTCCCGGTGGAGTATCTGTGAAAATGTGACAGCATGGAGAATATTTCAGGAAGTGCTGTTCAGCTCACGCTTTGTATGTCTGAGCTTGCCAGCCTGCAGCTCAAGTAGAATTGTCTGTAAGTCGCCTTTCCTGCCTGGCGGGTCCCGGTTTCCACATCACACGTTCCTGTTAACTGGCTGCTCTCCAGCGTGAGCAGAGGGGCACGCAGTGGCTGTTACCCCTCTTTCTTGCCCTTCTGCAGCTGTCTGACACTGCTTGCTTTTAAGCTGCCGCTTGCCCTTCCTGGGCTTGGGTGGCAGCTCGCTTATCATGTGTGGTGAGTGGGCCGTGAGACAAGCAGAGACCTGCTGGCCACGCTGCTCTGCATCGGCTGTGGGCGGATGGCTTCACCTGTTGGACCTGGCTATGGGCGTGAGCAAGACCTGCCGGCTGTGCTTGGCTGTCTGGAGCGCCGTGGAAGAGCTCTGACCCAGCCACACTGGTGCATCCGGCCGTGTGGAAGTAGTGCCTCACCCTCTGGGTTGGGACCTAGCATCACCTGTCCGAAAGCAGCAGGGAATAAACAGGAAAAGGGAGGAAGACAGTTCAAGTTTTGATGGCACCCGGCTTGTGCCTGTTGAGCACTTCAGTTAGTTCTCAAACGTTTCCACTGAAATTTTCAAGCTTGGGCACAGGTCAGGACAGTTGATGCCGAACATGGCATAGTTTGGGAAGCTTACGCCTTCTCACAACAGTTCTTGGAAGATGCATCTGAGAACATCATGCAGACATCCTTGTTTGAGTATAGCAATGTATTTCTTGCTCCTCACAGTAAAAAATAATTCTTGCAGGAAAAGATGACAAATGCAGCTTCTAGCTTCATACCCCAAATATGTACTGGGGTGTACTTTACCCTGAGAACTATGCAGAACCGCACTGAATCGGCTCTCTGAGTGTGTAGTCTGCTTTTGTCTTAGGTGCAGTTCCAACAGACTCGATAGATGCTTGTCAGATGTGATTACGAGCAGTTGTGTTTATCAGGGATCATCTATTGGCTCTGAATTTGAGGGAGCTAAGGACAGGGTTCTGTGGGAACATCTCCAGTGATGGCGAACCTTAGCGTTTCCGGTAATACAACCCACTGTGGCACGCGTGCCATAGGTTTGCCACCACCGTTCTGTACCTTAGAGAAAAGGTTACTTGGTAGCCCGGCAAGGCAGGGTGGGGAGGCCCTGTGGGCATCGCCAAACTTGGAGGAGCTTTAGCAAAGTAAAAGTCATGGGTCATCAAAAGTTAACTCTGGTCATAATCCCTAATTAAAAAGAAATATATTGTAATTGGTAAGATTTTTTCTAGGCGGTTAACTGCAGTGTTTAAAAGGCTGGCTGTTTGGGCCAGTCCGTGTCATGTTGCAGTGTCTAAGGGAGTTCACATGATTTTCACTCTGCAAAGGCCGGAACCCATTGGAATACTAGGACTCATCCCGCAGGTTCTAAACCTTTACTTTCCAAGTGTCACGTCCCAGACCCTTCTGTGAACACCGCACGAGTGTCCCTCGGTTTCATTGCTGCCTTTTCATCCTGGTCGGAAGGGCTGGCTTGTGCCCTTACTCGCATGTGTTTCTTGGGTCTCAGGACACTGCAGTGTTTGTCCTCGTCCTTCCTTCCCTCCTGATCTGTGAGAAGCAGTTCCTGTTCACTGTCTTCTGTCCCCATGTGCTGTCTTTGCTCTGGAAAGGCCGATGCCTCCTGTTCAGACTTTCCCGTTGGAAGCTCAGATAACAGCTTCCAGGAAATTGTCGTCACTGCCGTTACCAGCTTACTCCTGCCTTGTCCTTCTTCTTGCTGCATTGTTGCAGTGACACACCATCTAACCGTAGCCTTGCGCAGCCAAGTCCTGTCCCTCTCGTGTGTTAGAAGAACACTCACTTTCTTATTAGCACCTGTACTGTGCCCAGAAACTCATTAGTGAAGATGAAGTACGCTCGCCTTTTGGCTGACAGGTACATACAGAATGTATATCATTTCATTTAGACCTCTTTCCTTATAATGTCCCTTTTTTTTCATTAAAAATGTTGTATTCTAATGTAAACTAAAGAGTTTTTTTGGGTTTTTTGTTTTTTGTTTTGGTACTAGGGTTCGAACTCAGGACTTTGCGTCTACAAGGCAGGTGGTGGCACTACTGAGCTAAATCCCCAGGCCTAAAGAGCCTCTTTTTATTCTTTGTAAATACTGCTGTTTGATTACTTGGTATTTTGTGACTTTGATGAGTTTTTTTTTAAGTAAAAGCCTTTCGAAGTATGATAAAAAAAACACTCCAACAATTTTAAGTTTTTTAAAGATCTGGGATTGGTTTAAAATAACTGGAATTCTAACCAGAATACCCTAAGAGCTGGGAAAGGCTTGCTTGCTCTGTGGGGTGGCAGTCACTGACCGGCTCTATCTCTGCAGTTGACTGGATCGTGGCTGACATTCTGGCCATGCAGCAGGACGCCGTGGGGCATGTACGCTACGTGCTGAAGGAAGGGCTGAAATGGCTCCCACTGTACGGGTACTACTTTTCTCAGGTAACGCGCTTCTCTGCTCTGTCCTTGACCAGTTCAATTTACTTATCTGTTTGGCAGGATCTAGCTGTATAGTCTGTCCTTGAGCTCAGCAAGTAGCCCAGGCTGGCCTTGAACTTTCAGTGATCCTTCAACCGCATCCTCCCAAGTGCTGAGCTTACTTACTTGTCCATTTATAAAAATCTTATATTTCCAACTTTAACGTATCCTTAATATTGACAAAGGTGTTTTTTGTTTTGTTTTATTTTACATTGTTTGGAAGTTGCTGGGATTGAACCCAGGTCCTTATGCATGGCAGGCAAGTGCCCCACCACTGAGCTACACCCTAGCCCAAGTGTATGGTTTTTAAATAGCTATATTGTAAATTGAGTTGTTATTTTTATTTTTTCCCTGAATTTCCATTGTTCTTTCTGCCTCAGTGCTGGGATTATAGGCATGCACTACTATGTCTGGCTTATCTGTCATTTTTAACAGTGTGTTTATGTACATGTTATCCGTACAGTTTAATGAAATAGCAAAAATGTGAAGCTGAAAAGTCAAATCAAATAGGAGGCTAAAAAGCATAGAATTGAATATTTACTTCCCTTAACAGACTAATGATAAAACTAATTGTGGTCTGTAAAAGCCAGAAGAAAACAGTGAGATGCTGATAGAGCAGTAATGCACAGTAAGATAGGCCCTTGCCTTTCCTCCATGTTTTTTTACCCCACAAAATGTTTTGTTCCAGAAATGTTACAGTTTGTGCTGCTGGGCAGCCCTCCTGCCCAATGTATCAAATTGTTTTGCGACTTTGAACTGCGTGACCTTTCTGGTATTTCATTAAGCTCCGCCCCCTCACAAGAAGGTTCTGTAACCCCGCCCCCCTCTGCTTCAGTGAGCATGCTCAAAGGGGGTGTGTTTCAGGAAAGTTCTGTAACCCCGCCCCTCCGCTTCAGTGAGCTTGCTCACCTACCCTGTCGTCCCTATATAAGGAGGTCTCCTTTCTTCTGGAGTCTCACTTTTCAGTATGAAATCCTCTGAGTCTTTCAGTTATAACGTTGTAACACTCAGAGCTCTTTACTTTTGGCTATGGCTAGGAGCTGCTCTGCTTTGCCACAGCACCGACATGTGCGTAGCATAAGGAAATGTACTTCCCCACGTAATTCCAAGACCAAGGTGTGTGCTAGGTTGGTTTCTCCCTGGCCCTTTCTCCTGTCCTTCCCAAGCCCTGGTGTGGTTGTCTCAGCGAGCACACGTCCCTGGGCTCAGTTCTCTTCCTAGAAGGGTGCAGTCCTACCTGCCTAGGGCACTGCTGTAAGGACTTCAATTTACTCAACCTGGTCCCCTCCTTGAAGTCATATCGGTCTCTGAAATGTGGCTTTGGAGTCATCCAGTGCCAAAAAAATATGTGCAACAGACTGTGTCTTTTAAATCCCTAAAGATTGTGATTGTTGTCATGTTAAGGATACCTGTTAGTGATTCTGTAAGAAGTCAGTGGAAAACTTGGGAGCTCAAGTTCTGTTTGATCAGGTGTTTAAAGATATGAAGAAGTGAAGCATTTTTATTGTAACTACCAACGAAAGTTAACGTTCATGTATTTTTCAGTACATCGAGGACGCAGTTTTATGTGAATTACGTTACACAGTTTTCAGTGGGTGTTCAGTGAATATTTGAACATAGTGAATGCAACATAAATTGTGAAACTTTAACGCTGTGTTCCTTGGGAGGAAAGTCGCCTTTTTGACGACGGTAACCATCGCTTATTTTACAAATAAATTTTGCCCTCCCCGTTGTTCTCTGCGCAGCACGGAGGAATCTATGTGAAGCGAAGCGCCAAATTCGATGAGGGCAGAATGCGGGGCACGCTGCGGAGCTACGTGGACACAGGGGCGCCGGTAAGAGCGTCCTTCACGCGAGAGTACAACGAGAACCTGAGAGTTGGGTTGAAAGTGTACTTCGCTCGTGTAGCAAGTAGAGCTTCACCCCTGCGTTGAGCGGAGCCCCTGGGGGTGTCCTGCGGGGCCAGTCTGGGTGTGGAGTCGGTGCTGGCAGGTCCTGCACCTGGCCTTGAGGTGCGCACAGCCTGTCTTCTCTGCATCGGCGCTTGCTCGGGAAGGAGGCTGTTTTCTGTCACGTGTAAGTTTGGATTTCTTGTGTACACTGAGTTGCCTGAAAAATCAAATAAGCATGAGTATCTACAAATGAAAAAAAACCATTCAGTGTGAACACTGTTTCACGAGATTTCGCCCAACCTCTGTGTGAACGCTGTGGATGCGAGGCCATTTCCCACGCTGCCCAAGCAGCCATGCCACGGGTGTGGGTGACCCCGTGGGGATGGCGACACCACAGTGACCAGTGGCCGCCGCGCCAGGTGAGTCCATCTCAGAGTTTCCTTGCGCCAATGACCTGCCTGCCACCTCCCCTCTTGTGACCACAAGAAGAGTCTGTTATTTGAACAAACTTCCTCATCGCAAAGCTGTACGAGATGTAACATCCTTTTAGAAGTATCACAGGGGTGTTTTTATTTTTTATTTATTTATGTATTTATTTTTGGTTTTTTGAGACAGGGTCTCACTATGTAGTTGAAATTGACCTGGAACTCACTGTGTAGCCCAGGCTGGTCTCAAATTCACAGTGATCCTCCTGCCTCAGCCTCCCGAATGCTGGGATTACAGGTGTGTGCCACCATGCCCGGCACAGGGGTGTTTTTAAAGGCAGCTGAAGGTTTTCATCTTCCCAGCACAGTGTGGACTGCAGGAAGTGAGCCTCAGGGTCCTTGGGTTCAGCCGTGTATACATCGTCTGGCTTCCCGAGGATCTGGGTGGTCATTTTATTTTTTAATATTTAAGGCCTGTAAATGCAGAGATTATTGCTTAATTTGTTACATTCTTCTGTTTCCGAAAGTTAAGAACTGGCTTAGTAGAATATTTTCCTCAGGTCAGCCTTCGCATGGCTTAGTGTTTCTCAGAGAAATCTAATCCATTATTGCAGCTATCCTCAGTTTTAGTGTGGAAAAGACTTCAGAGCTTTGTGTAGACTTGTATTACTGTAATGGCAGGCTTACGGTCTGCAGTGTGCGGCCCTTAGAGGTAGGGCAGGATCGGGCCAGGAAGCGTGGAGAACGCACCCCGAGGTGGAGGCCAGTGACCTGCTTCCTCACGTTGGCGGCCTGATCGGGATTTCTCCACAAAGCCATCGCCCGGAGCTGGCAGGGAACAGGGTTTACGTGGGACAAGGGAAGGGGCGGGGCTACGGAAGCGAGACGTTTATGGTCCCTTCATTGGTTGAGGAAGGTACATTTAGTTTCCACGATTGGGGAGAAAAGCACACTGGATACGACTTCGGAGCAGAGGGCGGTGGAGGAGGGTGTGTAGGTGTGGGAGGCGTGTGAGCCCGGGTGGCTCTTCCTCACTAGGTCAGCCAGCCTGTGTTACTCTGGCTCATTATATGACTGAGAAGCACATCTCCATAGTTGGGACTGAGACCATTTTCATAAGGTACTTCACTGATAGATGCCAATGAAACAGTTTATGACACACAACTGCCTTATCTGTAGAAGTCATTTAGAGGCCAGATGTAGTGGCACCACACCTACCTCGCAAGCCCAAGTCCTCAGTTCGACCCCTAGTCCCCCCAAAAAAAAGCCATTTAGTTAGAATTTAAGCTAGTAAAATTCATGTGACAAATTTGCGGCCATACTTTTTTCCCCCCAACTTTTAAGTTTCTTTCAAATGGGAGGGAGTCTCTTGGAATCAAATTACTGATAATCCTTTGAAATTAGATTTGGTTTTAAATCCTAGATCTGCTGCTCTAACCTTGTTACTTTGCACAAATTGCTTACCCTTTCTAAGCTTTCGCTTTTTTATATGTTAAATCTTTTGGTGACTGCTATTTAACTTGGTGGTAAGACTTAAATTTAGAATTTAAAATTGCTGCTGTCACAAATTTCGGCAGCATATTGGCTTAAAGTAACAGAAGTGTGATGGTGACCCTTCCGAAGGTCGACCAGTGCAGCCGTCCCTCAGGGAAGCCCCTCCGTGGTCAGGCTGTGGTCCTCCCAGATGCCCCTTCTCAAGACCCCGTTCCTTTGCTCCTGTCGTGTCCTCCACAACAGCGCTGGCTGCTGTGGCCTCCCTCCCTAGCCACTTTCAGCCTGGTTCCAACTGCTGCTTCCTCTGCCCCGTGCACCCTGGCGGTGCTCTAGGGACTCTTCTGTCTCCAGGCTGGGTCACATGTCTCGGGTGGGGAGGCAGCCTTCCGTGTGCCTGGGCCTGTACCACCACCTTCCAGTGGCACATGGGGAGCCCTTCATTCAGGACCGAGGACTGTTTCACATTCTGTGCGGTTTGCAGTTCCCCGTAAAAGTGTAATGGGTTTTAATGACTGAAGTGCTTCTGGTTGTAGTTGTAAAATCCTTTAAAACAGTTATGGTTTGCTAGATTAGATTAATTTGGGAGTCAGGAGAAATATCTTGTTATATTCTGTACATCTCAATATGAAATAAAGAAAAAAGTAATAATTTAAAAATGTATAGCTAAGTTGGGCGTGGTGACACACGCCTATAATCCCAGCACTTGGGAGGCTGAGGCAGGAGGATCGCTGTGAGTTCGAGACCAGCCTGGGCTACATAGTGCGTTCCAGGTCAGTCTCTAGGCAACTACTACATAGTAAGACCCTGTCTCTAAAAAACCAAAAAAAAAAAAGTGTGTGAGTGTGTGTGTGTGTGTGTGTGTGTAGCTAATAAAGGTATTTTTTAAATTTTAAGGTATAATTGATATATAAATTACTTTTAAAACTAGTAAACTAAACTTTTTTTTTGTACCAGGGATTAGGGCTCCATAGCGTTCCAGGTCAGTCTCTAGGCAACTACTACATAGTAAGACCCTGTCTCTAAAAAACCAAAAAAAAAAAAGTGTGTGAGTGTGTGTGTGTGTGTGTGTGTGTAGCTAATAAAGGTATTTTTTAAATTTTAAGGTATAATTGATATATAAATTACTTTTAAAACTAGTAAACTAAACTTTTTTTTTGTACCAGGGATTAAACTCAGGGCCTTGTGCTTGCCAGGCAGGTGCTGTACCACAGAGCTATGTCCGCACCCCCCCCAATTTTTTTTAAAATCAGTGTGAAAGGAAACTTAAGACTTATAAAGAAGCTACTGCTCTGACCTTGATATCTTTACCTATTTCCCCTAGGAACAGCCCCACTTCAAGATAAAAAACTGAGATTCAGTTGAAAAGTGAATGGCTGAGGTAGGAGGGTCCCAAGTTCAATCCCAGCTTGCACAGTTTACAGCTTAGTGAGAACCTATCTAAAGTAAAAGTACAAAAAGGGCTTGGGATGTAGCTCAGTGTGAAGGCTCTGCTTTTCCATCCCCAGTAACACAAACACACACACATAGTTGGGTACTGTGGTTCAAGCCTGTAATCCCAGTGCTTGGGAAGCTGAGGCAGGAGGATCACTATGGTAGTTCCAAGGGTAGGCTGAGCAGTTTAACAACCTAAACACACCCGATCTCAAAGTTTAAAAAATTAAAAGTACTGGGTATGTAGCTTAGCACATAAGCCCCGGATTCAATCCTGGTGCCACACCAAAATAAAAAATAAAAAAAACAAATCCAGTACATAAAGGGCTGTTTTTAATAGTAAATTATCATTTCAATCACTGTGACTATAACTTGCACATATTTTTAAATCCTAGTTAAATAATCCCTTGTTTTTAATTTAGATACCTATTTTATAATAGAGACTGAAGTATTTGGTATGGCACAACTTGGGTATGGAATATAGAATTGTTTTAAAATCCGGAGATCGTGACAACACGGAGTAGGATCTCTGAAAAGTGAAAAGGCAGCAGGTAAGGGATTTGTGTGCAGCCTGCAGAAACCCTTGCCTACCGGACCATCCCGTCCGCGTGTGCGCTGTGCTGCCTGCCCTCCCCGGTCTGCAGCAGGGTCTTCATATTTCCTCGGTGCCTGACCGGGCAGTGGCCCCGGGGCCCTTTTGCCCTGTTGCTGCGGTGGGTCTCCTCCTCCTGTGTGGCGTCTGGAGCTGAAGCGCATGGCTCCCAGCGGGCCAGGAGAGGAGCGTGGGGGAGCACGGCCGGGCCGGGGTGCCGCCCGTTCCGGTGC